GGACACACTGCTTCCAAAAAGGAAGCAGAATATCAAAGTGGCGAGAAAGTTATAGAGACAGAAACGAAATTGGAAAACAATGTATCTAATAGAAATAATATTGACATCAATAACTCGGCCACGTACCATTCTAAAAACGTCACTTTGGGCGCCGCGAAAAGTAATTATGATAACAATGAAACGAACATGGAAAATCATCTTTTGATGACTCAAGAAAACTCAAATAACACTGTTACCCGACAGACAGATAAGTTGGTTTGCGTGTATCTTGCAGACAAACGTATAGTATGTCGTCGAAATGACTCAACCGCTGTTAAAGTTTCGATTAAGCCAATTTATACGACAACTTCTGAAACAGTGACGGTGACAGATGACGCTAATATTAATCAAAATTCTAGTATAGCAGATGTACGTGGCGAAAGCAGGACTCTTGAAAATAAGCCGCGCGAGAGGCACGGATCGGCTTACCGAAACGACATGAGAAAATTATTCTCTTCTTCTTTGATGAAAACGTCTACGGAATCCGCAGTTGATGCACGGACTTCAACGATAGCAAACAGTGCCTCTTCAAAAAATTCTAATTTATTACTCAATCAAACTTACGAGCGACAAAAATTGGGAGAAAATGATATTGAAACAAAGAATAACAATCTGGATAGTAAGAAAGATTTTTTTGGATACAAGGCGAAAAAAGATGGTGAGGTTTCAAAAGATTACGGGGAATATCTGAGCCGCCGCGTCGTGCCACCCAAAAGAACAGCCCCCGTAACTGCGAGCGCGAATAAAATCGAAGACTACACCGTAACGAGTGTAAAATACGACCGAGCGCGGAAAGCAGCTTCATCTGTTTCAAAAGAATTGTCCACAACAGCGAAAACGAACAAGAATTATTATTCCTCGATGAAGACAGAAAAATTGCTGTATGAAGTAAAATCACCTCAAGTAGAAATACGTCGTTTTCCAGCAATCAATGCCGTTGAAGATGTCGATATAATGTCAAACCTGTCAGCTTCGAATCACAACACGACCCAGCATGGAGGTAATAAAAAGTATAATAGTAAAACGCGCAAGCAGTCAAATGTTCTTTTCGAGAAATGCTACGGAAACAACAAAAGGACGCGGAGTGACGAGGAGATCGATTCCGGATTGGTAAGTTCCGACGAGACGCCAGGATCGGTAACTGCGAATGATCGTACGTACACGTCGAAAGAATCGCAAGAATCCAGGGAGACTCTGGATTCGCCAGCAGACGATTTCGGCGTCCTGATATTAAGCTCCACGACAACGAGGGCTCCCGAGGTCGTCACGCGGGATGCAAACGAATCCAGGGAGAAGTCTACCGAAAGGCACGGCAGACGCAAGCACAAGAGCCATAATGATCGTAAGAACAACAGACCCAAGAAGAGGAGGAAGAATCCCGACGCGAAGCGTAAGAGAAAACCGACATCGACCGTCGCTTGGGAAGTCGACGTGCTGACGAGCGTCGATTATGGCGGCGCTTATAGTTCGGAGCGGACGAAGACTACGCTCCCTCATAACGGTCCAGAATACGACAAAGCTGACGGTAATCGGAATACGAGCACTGGCAAAAACGACTGGTATCTCACTGATGAAATTACAACGGAATCTTTTAAGACAGAATTCTCTAACGCTGATGAGTCCGTTACATCAAGCCCCACGGAAGACAGCACTCACAATGGACCTGGATCGGAAGAAACGAGTGTGGATCTTGTCACCAGCAGCACCGTATCCTATTTATCAACGGAGTTCAATAAGAAAGATTCTAAAAAATGTAAAGTATCAATTACCACTACCGAGAGCAGCTGGCTTAAAAATTTGTGGTCAAACGAGGATAAAGAAATAGAGCAGGAATCGGCCAAGTGTGAAGAAGACGTTACTTGGTTTCCGACCACAAACGATTCGGTGGAAAGAGAAACAAGTTACGACAGTACTTCTGTCAGCGATGGCTCTTCCACGTACGACGCGATATCTCAATCAGACGGTATTACTGTGTCATTTTCCGGCAGAGAAAATAAGGAGATAAGCAGCGAAGAAATGAGCACAGCATATAGTACGGTTAAGGTTGGAGAAAGTAACGACGAGAGAGACACGACAGGTAAATCGATCTTGGACGAAGAAAGTGACGAAAACAATGAAGTACAGTTCTGGGGTCTAGAAAGTGTCACGCGTCCAGCGAGCGGAGGTACTACGCACGACGCGAATTCGGATCTCGATAGCGAAGAGGAAAGAGACGCGACGAAGAAATTGATATTCGACGAGGACAACGAGATCGACAACGGCGTCGCGGCGATCACGGAGGATTACGAGAGCGACAATTGCAGCGAGACCCAGCACGCTTGTGATAAATATACGTGCATCGAGGAGGACCGAATCTGCGACGGTATCGTAGATTGTCTCAGTGCTAATGACGAAACCGACTGCGATTACATATACATCAAGAGGTGGGAAATGGATCTGAAAACTAAGTCGCGTCTTCTCATCTCATCGAACACCGTCGAGGACACGTTGCTTGACGGATGCAGCCGTTACGAACATCCTTGCGATGGTACGTGCATAAACGCGCTGAATGTCTGCGACGGCAAGAAGGACTGCCTGGACGGCACGGACGAGGAAAACTGCACCGAAGGTATTCCCTATGTAGAAAATAATCTCCTGCGAGAGTTGACGTCTCGTTTCGCTCTTGGTCCACGCTGTAAAACACTTCTCGCCTCAAACGGGGACGTGAGTCTCAAGCAAGCGTGATGTCATTTCGGGACGACCTGTTATCTTAGCTGTACAGAAAATGGCTTGGAATATATCAAACTGGCTAATATGTCCTTGGGAAAACTGGCAGGATCTATCACGGCAAAAACTTAGAAATATTTTACTTCTCGGTCTCTAAGCTGTTCTTCTCTGAGGACTGCAGAAGACTCGCTTCCACGCTTCTGAAGCAACGTCACAGAAGCGTGCGTTGGAAATCCGCGCCGCCTGTTATGTGTTACGCAACTTTGGGGAACAGATGTGTTAACAAACGAACCGCGGATAAGTAATAACTTTGCGTTCAGTGTGTAAAAGTGCACGTTTACATTGTGTCGTCCACTCTTGCTGTAAAAAATATTGCCTTTCGCGGAGGGAAAGAAACGACTGAAGGTGTACCGAATTACGGGCAGACGGTGATCCTTACAGTGCAGTGACCGAAGACGATTACCTCTCTTATCTCTCATTAGACGATTATCTTATCTGTTTCTTATTAGACTCGCCGCAGCTCCCTCGCTCAGCCGGAAAGAGGATTTGCAATTAACGCGATTGCGGGAGTTAACACCGATGCGTCAGTCAACGTGGGCTGCGTTAGTCATTCTGCATACTGCAGGCATACAGTCAGCCGCCAATATTTTTATGTAGTCGCGATTAGATTGAGTATCCGCAACGGCAAAACGTGAATCCTCTTTTCTCTGCGCAGACGAACATCCCATTTCATCCATTCCATATCTTTTGACATCATCGTTGTGTCACGCATTACACGTTCTCCTCTTTCCCACAAGGATACAGAATATAAATTCACTTCTGCCTAAAAAAAAAAGGCATCTCAATGACATCGGAGGATCATTCTCGGTAATGACGATACGCAATCCACACGACACACATGTACCCGAACATTGTACATAGTTTACAAGTTGGAGTAAAGGAGAAGGTAAAGAAATACGAGACAACAGAGAGGAAACTTTAGAGGCGCGTAAAGTTTCCCTTCCCGAAAAAAATATTTTTGAAATATAATATACGATTTATTAAACAAAACGTTTGATTTTATGACCCGAGAGCACGATAATTACGCGTTGTCTCATATTCCTGCCTTCTCGCATAACTGAAATAATTTTAATCACTTTCGAAAGGCTTCTTCACGACGCTTTAAGTGTTTAGACCAAGCTTTAGGATATAATAAGATCCCGTGGTCACAGAACCACGCGTTTTACCAAAGGTGCTTTTCATGTACAGATTTACGAATCCTCTGTCACGCCTAAAACTGCTTTAAATGTCTCTTCATATGTTCATAGCTTGTACTTCAACCTCGGACTCGTCTGTCACTCAATCGCCAATTGAAAAGAAATCTTTTCCTCATTATTGTAAAATATTCCTTCGCAATATAATTTTAATATCTATCTTTAAGTACAGCAATTATGGTTTTAACACGTTAACCATATGACATTATTTTTATTTATTTAAAAAATTACTTTTTACACTTATTCATCTATTTTAATATCATTCTATGTAAATGAACGATCAAGGTCAATTCGAAAGTCCGCCCAAATCGCGGCGACTGAACGGCAGAATGCGAGGCACGAGCGTTGATCAGGAGAATCTTTATTTTTTGTCGATGGCGCTCTGTAGGTTTGGCCCCATGCCCTTCCACGGATTTCACCTGCGGGGATGGCTCTTGCATACCGAAGAACTCGGTCTGTGACGGATTCGACGACTGCCCCAGGGCAGAAGACGAGCTTAATTGCGGTATATAACCCTGTATACCTTTCACGCTGCTCGGTATCGAAAGAGAGAGAGAGAGAGAGAGAGAGAGAGAGAGAGAGAGAGAGAGAGAGAGAGAGAGAGAGTCCGAATGAGAAAGAGAAGAAAAAGTGCATGGATAACTTGCTGGTGTAATATCAATCAATATTATTTTGACGTTTAATGCAACTCGAGCTTTAAAAAAAATTTTTTTTGGAAGTGAAACATAATATTTTTGTTACGTTCTATCGGTATCGTTACGCGAACAATAACAAGTAGCGCGATGGAATTTTAACTACAAACGCGCAGAAATTGATTTCGAATAATTGGTGCGAATTATTTATTCGCACTGTTATGGTATTCGATTCGATAGACGGTTTGGGCAAAATATTCTGTGACCATCGCTGAAATTGTGTAATAATCGATTTTATTCCTGTTAAGGTAGTGCTTTTTTTTAAATCAATTTTTAATGATGAAAAGTATCTCGAAAGAACGCTATTCAGTTTTATTGTTTCATAATTTTTTTCATTATACTGACGTAAGTTTAATTTGTCTACGACTAAGAAGAATCTAATTTCTAATCACCATTTAATTAGAAAACAAGAGTATGAAAGTTTCGGTTCATCTAATTTTTTTTCTCTTTCTTTACGCTGATCTTTTTTTCGAAACCTTGCTTAACTTGCACCCGACATAACGCTTGCCATTGGGCCAATCGCTTAATGATTTCACCTCGTTGGATAATCACGGACTTGTTCCGCGTTGGTTAGACGCTAATTGCAGAGCTTACATTCGGATCCTACGCTAACGTGACCGGAGCCAACAATTTTAATCGCAGATTTCAAATATTTGACACGTTTCAATTAACGCTTTTTATTCTTGTAGAAATTTGTCAAAAAAACGATGTCAGTTTACATAACTTATAAGCGTGTTTTCTGCACGTCATTATATTAATTATAATACAATTGGAAATAAAAATTAATGAAACGTGTGGACGAAATCTGCGTTTAATGTCTCAGCACATGCGATCTTTATTATATAATAATATAAATAACGTAAACATTGTCATTAACGCATACCCTTAATTACTTTACGGATTTCTCAATAGAAAATACGTAATTTTCTAATACGCTACCTTATGATTAATTTATTAAGTAATTTAATCATTATTATTACAGGATAATTTAATCGTTACAGTATGTTAAACGTGACAATGCAATATCCAGGGTTGGGAAGTAAGTCGTTACTTGTAACGAAGTTACAGTTACTTTTCTTTGGAAAATCTAACTTAACTTTGTTACTTTCTCTCTGTCTGTAACTTAACTCAGTTACATTTTTTCGATAACCAGTAACTAATTTAATAGTCACATTAATAGTTACTTTATATATTTTTTAAACTGCCACAGATTGCGTTAGACCTCGCGTTTGCGCGTAAACGCCTTTATCGATGCTCTACAGTTAAAATGCAGATTTGATATTTTTATTTTCATTGCAAGAAAGTAACTGCAAAGTAACGATTCGTTACTTTTTGAGTAACTGTAACCGTAATGCGTTTAAAAATTGGTAGCTTGTAGCTGTAACCAGTTACATTTTTAGCGAAAGAAACTGTAACTAGATACTTTTATAAAGTAACTTTCCCAACCCTGGCAATATTTTAGCGCACAAAGTGCAATCCATTGAAATGATTTCTTACTCGCGTTCGAGCCGCGAATTGTTTCTATTGAATTTCGCTGCGAAAACCCGCAGATATTATGCAATATGCATGGAAGCCACGATTCTTTCCGCGAAGTTTGATTCTAAATACCGGAATTGTCCGCCGGCTGACAAACGACCTCATAATAGTGGACCATTATATACATTTACGGGGGAGCTAATAATCGTGTATTCTCCCGCAAAACTATGGTCGATCGCGAAGGAAAGCTACATTTATCGTCACGACACATTTTTCGCCCATTGCACGCGACATCGTAATTCGCATTAACCAATACAGCGAGTTATTTTTCACGAGCGTTTCATCCGACACAGAGGGCTGGCTCGTGCTCCGTAAACGTGAGTCGAAAATAATTTCCAATTCTCCCTCATCCATCCCGTAAAATCGTAACTGTTAAATGACACTCTCGTTGTCCCAGAAGCAGCTTTTTTCCGCTTTCCGTGATGCGACAACAGACAGCAGAAGCTATCAATTAAGCAGATGAAAGCTCAGGGGAGGGGGGGAAAAAATCGAGACCGACGACCGAGTCACGTCGTCGAAACGTGTCGCTCCGAAAAGTCTGAGAGTGTGCGTGTGCGGCCGCGCTTACCGCTTCGTTTATAGCATACGTATATGTACACGGAGTGATTGTATATATATGTGTAAAAATGTATGTGTTCTTTGCGCATATGTTCGCTGAACAAAACAAAATACAGAGCGGGAATGCACGCCTAGCCAGTTCAAATGCGCCACCGGGAACAAGTGCATCGAGGACGTCTACAGGTGCGACGGCTATCCGGATTGTCCAGATCACAGCGACGAGAACTGCCCTCCGTCCGCTAACGACACTACACACACCACTTCGCCTACCACCAGTACGCTCCTTTTTCAATGTGTCCATCGCTTCAGTCACAATTCATTCGTGCAATCTCGCCTGGCGTGTCTCCGCTATCGCTATGTGTTCAAGCCCGGTAGCTCTGCGAACGATCGAAATCTTGAATCTGCTCTCTTTCGCGCCAAATCAATCGCATACAAAACGTTTGTAAAATTAACGAAATTTTCCTATTTCTCTATTTATTTTCGTTAGATGCGCAAAAACATGAAACGCGCGTTCTTAAAAAAAGAAAAGCTTATCAGCAGCCGCCTGCGATAGTTTTCTGTTGTTCCATTTTGTATAATTATTTAAACGTTCCTTTTCTTACAATTGCGCAATCGGTTTCAGCTGCTTATACCTGCTCGTGTTCTACGCAGCCTTATTCGCCGCGAGAAAGTTAAAGAGTAAAAAAAATGGGAGATTTGAAAAGTATCCCCGGGCTTCGGTGCTGCGAGTAAGTTGCCCGCCTTCGCTCGAGGTCCGTAATGTTTGGTTTCGGTCGAATCCTCTTAAGGAACTCTTATTTACGCGGGACAAGTGGATCTACCTGCCCGAGCGGATACACACTCGACGATGGTTGTATTTCATTGTGCATTTCTCACGATCAATCGTTACGACCGTGGTCGAGAAAGCGATTCTTCGTCGCGTTGCTTCACCAAAGACCCCGACAGCCATTGTAACATTGGTTTTACCGGACCGGAAGAATTTATACTTACGAGACGCGACTGCTAAACTTTATCGCGGCAACTTATTGAAGATGTACAGGTATCTTTTTTCTTTTCTTTCTGTCCTCTTTTTTTCCCCCTACCGTTCTTCAGCAAACCGAGTTCTCGACAACGGCTCTATTTTATCGTACCACCTGAGTGCGGAAGGGTCGGAATACACCGGAAACGTATTACCCCGCGAATCCCCCGTACACGGAAGATTCACGGTGATCGTCGACGGTACTCCCGCCCGTTCGCGCCGCAAATCGCGCGTTATAAGGCAACCTGCAGATATATACGCTATACATGCATTGGTATACAAGTAGCTGCATTACGCACGAACATGTGTGCTCGGGCGCGGATGACGACGATGTTTGGTAAAAGTGTCTTGATCTCGTGCCCTTCGACACTTCTTCACCCGCGAACTTTAATGTCTCCCCGGCGACGGCCCGCTAATTGCCGAAGGAATTGGTAAAAAAGGATCGAGGAAAATTCGGGGAAACTCGATCGAGGCACTTTTACCCAGCATCCCGCCACGTTTGCGCGACTCTGCTTGCGGACTGTGGTGTATCCTCCCTTTCGGTTTCCTCGTTGCATCACTCTCAGTTGCATTATGGTTGCATTTGTATGATAGGGAGTAAGTTGCATTGTGTCACGCTGCGAGCGTATTTTTAAATTTCATTCCTGGCCGCTCGATGCCCCCTTTCTCTTTGCTGCGAATTTCCCTTGAATGTGCCCGTGTGTGTATGTGTGCGCTCAGCCTCGTTCGACCTACGCTGGACACCCGAGCGCGGGAGGGAATGCGACCCGAGGACGGAGATGCGCTGCGACGACGGGGGTTGCGTTCTTCTACGGCGTAAATGCGACAATATCTTCGACTGCCTCGACGGCAGCGACGAGCGGGGCTGCGGTAAGGGCTTCACCTCGTTCCCCAGCCCACCCTCTGCCTCTCCTTTCCGCATACTCGTATTAACGATGACAAATGTTTCCTGATTTCCTCTCTCCGCGCACTCATATTAACGATGACGAACGGTTCCTGATCTTACGAGCCAGAGCAAACCTCCTTTTTACCTATTAAACAGAAAATCTTTTTGTATATCATACATTTTATCTTAAATATATTTATAACGATTCGCTAATGCCCTTTTCTTCGATAATACCATAAAACGGTTTTAAGAAGTTGACATAAATTACGGTTTTTTTTTATTCACTGAAGAATATGCTCCGTTTCTTTTCTGTTGTAATTGTAACTATTTTCAATATTATCGGGAGGTATATTGAGAAATACGCGGGATTAATCTTATTATTTTTCACGTATATAGTTCCTTATCGCAATGCAATATTAAGATCTCGAGTTACATATCAATAATGTTTGCTCTATCGACAATTCAACCTAAATGCGTATTTCCTATAACTCAATATTTCCACGAATATTCAGTAGTGTCATTCAAATTAATTACGTGCAATATTTATAATTGACATAGCGAAGACTTATAAATTTTCAATAATTGTGAAATATTCTAATAATCACATATATATCGGAGGTTTATGAATAATAATTTGCGAGCATTGTAAAATTTTTGCATTTTAAATGCCCCTTTAATCTGCCTTTTGAGATCATTTGATTGCAACTTTTTTTACCCCTATCAAAATTTTTGTACTTGGGGGTCTCTTAAGGTTGCCAGTGATAATAAATATAATAAATTTTAGTCGACCTTGTCTGGCATGTGTTTAATATATTTAAAAATTGGAAATACAAGCGACGTTTCGACCATCGGTTTTGGTCCTTCTCAAGCCATTACTAAAATAATTGTATAAATATTATTCAACAAATTATATCTATATATCATTCTATTTATACAATTATTTTAGTAATGGCTTGAGAAGGACCGAAACTGATGGTCGAAACGTCGCTTGTATTTCCAATTTTTAAATATATTAAACACATGCCAGATAAGGTCGACTAAAATTTATTATAAAATTTTTGTACTTAAAATTTAATCTTCCCTTTGAGATCATTTGATTGAAACGTTTTTTTACCCCCGTCAAAATTTTCGTCAATTTAATACAGCGCGACACGCGCTTAAGTGACAAGCGACGATTATAATGACACCATTGATGATTCCTCATTATTCCCCAATCCCAAATGCTTTCTGCGGGAGCTTTCGACGAGCTTGTCTGTGTCATAAAGGGGTATGCACACCTGCCGAATGGAAGTGCGCCAGTGGCGAATGCTTGCCTGAAAACCAAAGGTGCGACGGGATAACGCAGTGCAGCGACGGATCCGATGAGGATCGATGTGGTAATTATATGACAGCTTAGCCCGCAATCGCCCACACACCGAAAAAATGGCCTTCTCACCGCTCTTGCTCGTTGACCAGCACGCTACAAAACTTGTACAGATTTACATACCCTCTTGCAAGAAGGATATCCCATTATTCATGATTTGCCAGAATGTTTATACCTCGATTAGAATAATTTTGTATCCCTTTAGACTAATTACGCAGCATGTCACGAAATTCAAGTTTGAATTATCTAATATTGTATTTTCCTGTCAATTTTAATTAATGCCTGCATGGTAATTACTTTGTTTTCCTCATTTGTGTTCAAATTAACCGTTTCCTTGTTGTACAGTAACAGCATCGTTATTTCCATCTTAATTTCCTAACGAGACCTGATTCCGTCCCTCCTGGGCCGAGAGAATATTTGGGCGCAATTGTAATCGTGAGTGTCGTTGAAGTCTTAAAATCCCGCATCGAAATTGTAACACTCTGCATGAAACAAGTTTTTTTCCTCGACAACGTATTCTTCTTTTGCAAAAACTCGTCACTCTCGCACGTTGCATTTTGTCTACGTCGTAAGTGTGGCGCACGTGTCTCTCTGGGAATATAACCGGTGTAAAAATTCGGAAGTGCATGATAAAAGAGCTCCCGTAAGTAGATCATGACAATATTAATTGGACGATGCAAGAAGAGTGAATATCCTTATGATTTTTCACATGAGGACTTGGCCGTTCTACTGAGCTGTACACCTTGCCTTAGAAACTTATTAGAGCAGAGTGGCTGGTGCACTCAATAGTATACAACTAACACAAAGGTGGCAAGCAGCGTTATTGCGTACGATAAGGAACGCGCAATAATTCATCCCTACGTTTGTTTAACACTTAAATAATCGCAGAGACTTTATTACCCCGTGATGTTTATCGCTTTAAGAATACCACTGATAGAAATCTCTTCGAGAAGGCAAATGAAATTGAATGATTGAATTTATTTGCATTTATTTTAATTAAATGTTTTTAATATATGTATTTATTTGGTTTTTCCGATTAAATTTGTATACGATGGATACTTAATGTCATATGCGAGGTTTTTCCTCCCGCGAGGAAAGGATTGCAAAGAGAAATCTGTGTGAATAACCGTACATTGTAAAATCAATATTGAAGTACAGGTGTTACCCTTCTTGCATTATCTTCGTCAACTATGAGTAAAGGGATAAGAGAAATTTGCGCACGTATCGTTGCGATTACTCAGGTGTTAACAAAATCAATTGTGTTTTCTTGTCGGTACGTTTCTCTAGTCTCACACATTATTCTCGATTACCTCGAGCAAATACGGGACCCAGCGGTGGTAAGGCCATTTTTTTTTCTTTCTCTCCCCGCCCCCCCCGCCCCCCGTATGGGTAGCATGCACGATAATACTCGACATGGAACTTGGTAATTATTGTAGTAACCGAATGTCCGCCTGGGTGGTTTCGATGCAACGACGGATTGTGCCTCGACATTAAGAGACGTTGCGATGGCCGGCCGCATTGCTTGGACGGCTCCGACGAGATCAATTGCTCTAGTAACAGTGATTTTTAATTTAGCTTTATTTTACGTGCCGAGGACGATATAGACCTAAGCCACACGCCCGGAATCGACGTGGCACAATAGCTCCGGCAGGTGCTGGCTTTATTAGTTACCTTCCATTCGAATGACATAGCAGGATCTTCGATAGCGTTGCATTACAAGCTAGAGCAAGTTGATTATTATGAATTCTTTGTTTCCTTGTCGTTTTTTTTCTCTCTCTTTTTAGTCAGTCGGAGACTTGCATTTTGTAACTTAGGTCTGTGTCCTTCTTAGCGCACCTACTTATGTTGATGGTAATCCGCATGAAGGAAGCTCACCGTTAATTGAACAATTGGTCAATGAGATTTAACAGCGCGAATAGACAACCCTGTAATACAGTTGATATACATCGATCGAAACGGTAACCTTTCTTCACGCGCTATTTATTCTATTCTTAATCTGCCTCCATAACATTTACTTCCCTCTCTCTCTCTTTTGCCCTCTGAACTATTTTTCCATCAGCATTCTCATCGTGGGTCATAATACTTCCTGCGACGTATGGTATTCTTGTTATGGGCATATGGTACTTATTCTTAGCGAATTAACAGTGAATGAATGCGACCGATTGCTAATTCATTTGCTCGTGAATCAGTCTTGCGTGATTTCGTCGTGTGTTACTAAAAGAAGGTGCTCAATGATGTGTGTGTGCGCGTGTGTGCGTGTTTTAGTGTTCAAAGACACGAAACAGATATAGGATCAAGTGCCGCGAGGCTGTCTCAAGCTTGTCTCTCTTCCTTTTTCGGCGCTTGATCTTATCTCCAAATATTTATTCCGTTTTCTTTAGCTTACGCCGAATAACTTGATCGACTTTATCAACGAAATTGGCTTTTCTGCTCTCGCGCGTGTTACCTCGAGACAAAAGTCGCGGGCTTGGTCCCCGAAGGGTAGCTCGCGTGCTCCACCTTTCTCATCGTTCGCTTGCGGAAAGATGCAGCATGCGAAGCCCACTCCGCGTCCAGTCATACGCTCAGTCAATGTTCTCAGTAAAACAGTGGTTATATTCTTCTCCGAATGTTCTTACGCGAGATGTCGATCGTGCTAGACTTTATGAACGACGGCACCGCAAAGGGGTCTCTGCAGCTGCAATTGCAGCGACTGCAACGAGCGCGGGCGACGGCGATGGCGCCGGCCGCTCGAACGACTTGTCGCGCGCACGTCGGTGTTCAAGTCGGCAATTAAGAGGCTGTGTAACTAATACGGTCGCACGGGCGTGTACACACGTACGCGGAAGCTGTTAATCTCATTTCGTCGGCCTGTATCGACCGTTCGAGCACGTTTTAGCCGGACGTTGACTGGCCATTAACTCGAATACCGACGTGTCGCGGCATCACTTGTCGTAGTCACCTCGGAACGACCCTGTCAATGATGGATGAATCGAAATCAATCCGAGGGGATTCATACCCGCGAAACTCCGGACCGCCGACCGCGGCGCTCGGGAATTGCTTTCGACGTGTTTGAACTCCTTCCTAATCCTCTTTATCATCGCGCTGACTTAACGCAATTAAAGCGGCGAAAATTAGCTTCAACGTATCCTCGCTGCAAACAGAGCGGCTACTTTACAAATCCTTCATTGCGCTTTGATCGAATGCGAATAGCTCGAATAGAAGAAAATAAAGAGAGGAGTAGGCGCACACGAATCCAAACGACGTCAAAGCCCAATCCTGCTCCGCAGTTTGAACGTTTGTAATTTCCCGAAATGAATCCCCCCCCGTCAAATCCTTTTCGATTCGTCTCTATCTATATGATCAACAATCTCTCTTTCTATGTTTTAGCATTATATACGTATCTTGTTACATTTTAGTCGAGACGCAATGAGGCACGAGTTGATAGATGAGATGTAACTAAGAAACGACTAGGGTTTATTGCTATCACTGTTACGTTCTTACGTGTACTGGTCACTCGTGCATCTCACTGTGTCTTGGTTCTTATAGTTGTTTGTGCCTTGATCTTGAATATTGGATACTCAATAACATACTTATGCGTACATAACATACATCTTGATTACGCGCTCTGACTTCTTGACATGCATTTTGCATCGATTATGGATGGGATCGAACTAACTCTACCTATTCTTCACTTCTCTCTGTCTTTCTACTTGTCTATCTGTACGTCTATTTACTATCCGTCTATTTTCAGCACAGGTTGCCTGATCTTTGAATTGTGCATCTACTTGTATATATACATATCTATAAATATGCATATATATATCGTACGTATATATATATATATATATCGGTGTATGCGAATTGCATATGTATATATATATATATACCTTTCTCTGATACCCTTTTACCTCCGGTTATTTACGTCTCCGCAATTTTCCACGCCGCGCGTTGACGCGTGCACAAACCGCGCTCTGGCTGTTGCGTACAGCGCGCGTAAAAGCTCGCGACTGACGTAACGCGAACTTTTGTAAATGTCACGTTTTGCGCGATGGTCCTACGTTTGAGAAACTAAGTTCAACTTGTTTATTAATATATATGGGGAAAAAACGCCGCGCGTTTCCCCGTGAAAAGGTCCACGTAGCTAAACCGGTTTGGCGCAAAGTGGTTTCGCTAACGACATTTATACGGGGTTGTTATTACAATTTCCTCTCGCGATACGGTTCAGCGAGATTATATGGATCGGAGTATCTGAAAATTGCGACCTTTCGGCAATTCTCCCTCCCGGTGGTTTTCGCTCAATCAACCGTGGTCGGTGCGTGCACGCGGCAACGCGCCGCCGTCTCCGTGTTCCTTCAGATAATACGACACGCGGCAATGTGCACGACGCCTATTTGACGAGGCCGCCCCGGCGCACTTTTATCGCCCTTCGTCCATCGCAGGAGGAAGCACCTCTCGCGGGACTCTCTCCGCCGATCGATAATTATCGAAGGCACTTGGTCAGCCTCGCGCATCTAATTTCCTCGTGCGAGGGCGAGGGTGTTGCGCCGCGCACGTCGAGGCCGCTCGCAACTTTTTTTTTTCCGGCCGACGCGGAAAGTACCGTTCGCGGCCTCGCGCGATTGCCCGGCGAACGATTGTTATATTGTACAAATGTGCACATTGTCGCTTCGTATCGTCGTACGCGCACAAAAGGATCTCCCTCGTATCGTTTGCGCCCCGCCCGCCCTTATTTGCCATTCAACGGAGTTGATTGGTTTTTGCAGAATGCCCCAACGGTCAACTACCCTGCGACAATGGCGTCTGTATCAATAAGAACTTCTTCTGCGACCACAATGTCGACTGCCACGACGCTAGTGACGAACGAAATTGCCGTAAGGATATCTTTAGATAGATACACTTTTCCGCTACTCCACCGCAAGAGCTGTTACATTCGACGTACATTCAAATATTGCACAAAGCACCCCTTGCGCCTCGCACTCTGTTGCGCGGGACATTTTTTCTTTAATACGCCCCTTTCATTTTGTAATTTGGAGCATTAGCAAGGGTCGGTCGGACAGATTCTTTTTTATAAATCAGCGAGTTCTTATTTAAAAAAAATCGCAGCCTCGATGAACCGCGTGTCGTACCATTTTTTCCAGCGGACAGCGGAGAGAGCGGCGGCTCGGGCCAAGAGTGTCACCACGACAGCTTCATCTGCGGCGACGGCAGATGCATACCTCGAGCCGCAGTGTGCGACGGACGTGCGGATTGTCTGCACGACGAAGACGAGATTAATTGCCGTCAAGGTGAGTCAATCCCCGGGGTCGGCGCCCGCGACATCCCTTGCGCTGTCCTCACCGTAAAGAGCTGTGTTGATTTAGGTCCGAGAGAACGGTCCTTATCGATAAAGTATTCGGAAGACGGATACGGAATTCTCTCCCCCGGTTGGTTAATTCAGGCGTACCGATACGATTTAGCCGTGGGAACGTATTCGTTAGTCGGGACTTGAAATGACTCGAAGAGAGGCAATCTTCCTCCTCAGTTTACAGCCTTACGTCACTACCGCACGTGTATAATGTCGAGCGAGTGCTCTTTCGGGCGAGATTTAAAACTTAATCCCGCCTCCCGGTTATACCTTAATGGCTGGTTAAGCTTCGTAAGCCGCCACGCGGTGGTCTCTTGTCCCTCCAAAATTCAGTCAACGTAGGCAAACGTGAAAAATCGTGATTCATGTGCAGAAGGTCAATGTAAATAAATCTTCTAAGATCGAGTCCGAGCGAGAATGGAATGTAAAGTAATACGAAGGCCAACCGCGCGCTTGTCCCGGGGCAAACTTTATTACATCCGGACTCGGGCTTCGAGTCCCGATTATGCGTACGGTCCTCGGCAGGAGGAAGGCTCTTCCTCGTGACTCTCGTACGTACGGCGTGTATCAGTTGCGGCCGCGTTGCCGATACATCAACGACACGGCCGCGAGAAACACCAGCGGCTCAGATTGAGTTACTTCTAGGTGTAGACGCCTCGGATAGTGCCTCCTCGAGGGGGCGTCCAGAGACAGAGGGGGTGGTAGCCGGTGAGAATCCGGATAACGAGGCTTACAGCCCAGACACAGATGCAAATGCTGATGTGCCGCCGACAAATCTGAGCACGCCGAGGAGTTGTGCTCCGGATGATTTTGTTTGCGCCGACGGCACTTGCATCCCCGAAACCCACCACTGCGACCATTTCTACGATTGCCGCGACTTTACCGACGAACAGTACTGCTTCGGTTAGATTATTTGTAGATCTCGAAAATCTGGTGACACGCACACACCACGCGTCGAAGTCTCGCGCGCGTCCGTTCTCCACCCGGCCGGTTCGCTGACGAGCCTCGCGGCTACGGCAGAAGACATTCGCGCGTCGATGTCCTGACGCGCGAATAATTCTTCGCGTGTTCTACGGATTTACATTGGCGTTACAATGACATAAATAATATTAGAAAACTCTACGTCGAGAGAACATTTGTTCTTTCCATATTCTTTTTAATAGTCGCCGTTTTAATGGTGCTATTGAGGAACTGATTGGTCCTCGATAGTAAAATATTGTTAAAACAGTAACTATTAAAATTATGAATATTAGAGAAACTGATTTACTAAGTTTCACTCCTTAATCAATATTTCCAAGATCGTTTGATTTTCGAACAAATTATCGTAGTATTTCTCCGTGAATTTATTCCTTTTATAAACGACGTATTTCTTTTAAACATGTCGTTCCGTTCTTTTAAATAACGTAAATCAACTTTTGTATTCGCGGGATATTTTGGGAGTATCGTCGGATACAGACGGAGCACCAGATTCTCTTAGATCTATGTTCTTTTCTGCCAATCTGTGTTAGCAGCTGAATAGAAGATGTGTAGGTTGTTCCAGTAGAGACTTGATTATATTTCTAAAATTTATATAATCGCAGTCTTATATATTACCCGGCGCATCTTTATAAATAATAGTGCATCTCTGCCTGACGTAAAATTTAGATCGTTTATTTTTCTCGTAGGTAGAACGTTTGGCATAAATACTATTTGGCATGCATAGCACGAGGAAAGTACATTTTTACCTGTATAGTTTTTGCATTACATTTCAGAAGAGAAAATACTAAAAACGTAACCTTTAACGCCATCCTTTAACACCATCTTCATCTGTATATATAATTGATTGAAATTGACACTTGTATCTAAAAGAAGAGTTCATAAATGTCTTTCCTCCTGAGTTCTATATTGAAGTTATATTGAATGACGAATTACATAAGTGTTTGTAGATGACAATCAGTGCACACAGTATAAAAAATTGAAACGCGTAAAGGTCGCATCGGCATCAACTATTCTGTGCTGTATGAACTGATTACCGATATATGGTCTAGATTCTAGACCAAAGCTGTCTAAATTGGCGACAGCATGTCGGTAAAATGAGACGAGGCGAACGAGAAGGGACGCCTCTAGCAAGACAGCTCTGTTCTAGATTACGTTTAACAGTCTTTTCTAGGTAATGAAATCTTTATCTCCATCGTATTTATATTTCGACGTTAGATCATTGTTTAGATTGTAATGACGGACATATGATGGCTCCATGGCTGACATTTTACATGTATCTGTGTATCATCTATATCGTTTCTTTAACGGATTTCAACGGCTCGCGGTTATCTCGTTAAACACAACGCAAGCTCTCATTTTAGGATGCACGCGGGACCAGTTCCAGTGCGCCAATGGAGATTGCATCCGCGCCGATCAGAAGTGCAACGGCATCGTCAACTGTGCCGACGGTTCCGACGAAGAACCGGAGAAATGCGGTGAGTTTGAAAGAGCATCGCTCGTCATTTGCTCGCCTTAATTAAACAATGAGCAATAAAATAGATTGAGCTAATAAATAACAAAGAGCAGAGATGCATAGCCAGATCGGCAAGATCTGTATATCTCAACGGTGCTTCCGAATAATTTATAAACCGTAGACTCGCTATGAGATGGCAATTGAATAATTGAAGAGGTCACTTTTTTAACTGTCTTAAATTTTATTTAATTATAATTAGAAATGAAATTAAATCTTTATCTACTTATATTTTATTAGAGACGCCAGAGCCATCGCCATCAGGCCAGTGTGCTGCGGAGCAATTTATGTGCATTTCGGATAGAAGGTGCGTTCCAGTGTCCTCCATCTGTAACGGAATTCCAGAATGTCGAGACGGATCCGATGAGCATAATTGCGGTAGGTCATCGATATATTTCAACAGCCCTCGCGTATAAGTACGTTACGTTGAATCGCCAGCAAAATGATAGCGCCAGATAGAGTCGCGAGTTCTACTTAAAAATTGACAAATAAGAAATTAATGATTGCGAACAACGCGGCTCCCCGACTTACTCTAATCGCCAAGGTAGTCTAAGATACTCCTACACGAGAGCGCAGCATAATGACACGCATTTTAACGACGAAACCAAAGTTCGCAAATGCCCGCACGGGGAATGGAGATGCAAGAGCGGCAATTGTATACCCCATCATCAACGTTGCGATCGCCGGATCGACTGTCCGTACGACGACAGCGACGAGTTGGGCTGTCACCATAAGGCGACGGAAAGAAATCATAGTAGGTGCAGCGCGCACGAATGGATGTGCAATGACGGTCATTGCATCCCGCTGCACCAGCGATGCGACAAAAGGCTCGACTGTCCTAGAGACATGTCCGATGAGATGGATTGCAGTTATGATAATTGTGAGTCTCCCCCTGTAGTTAGTCATCCAGAGCGGAGGCCGCCTTCGGGCAAGGGGACCGCGCAGCCGGCCGATAACACGCCATGCGCTAATCAATAATACCTTGTAAATATCCATGACACCGTAACATAATATCTGCCGTAACGTAATACTGTAATGTTTTATGTAACACTAAAAGGTATTTATTACCCCCGTTTGCAGCGGATGAGACACAAGCAAATGAGTCTCTCTCTGTGTGTGTGTACTGTATTTCCATTATTTAAATTACACAATTCCGCCTTTACCCGATAATATAGACACTTTTAATCCGAGAATAACAAATATCTATTTTATGATCAATACCACGAGGGGTACTGTGAGCTCTCTCGATTTTTTGCGACGACGCATAGTAGATCGTAGCAGTAGACATCACGCTGTGTATCATATTTTCTAAAAGAAATTAATACCGAACTAAAATATAGGATCGCATTTCCCCTTGTAGAGGAGAAACGTAGAAAGGTGCCGGGTAGAAATTAACAAAGTCGATAACGAAACATTGATTCTGTACATACATTTATTAATCATTAATCAACGATTACTTTGGTGCTCTTACGGTTACTTGTTACAAACTTATTACTTTTTTTTCGTTCGTAGATACCGATGGAACATCCGATCTTAAACTGAAGACTTATCCCAGTGAACAAGTGATCAAAGAAAGTAAGTAGTAAATGTCCCTTTTATTAAGCTGTGTACGGATTTGGTGATATGTTGTATATGCATTTGTTGCAATTTCAACTTTTGTGTAGTTATCATCTAACTAAAAGGTCTCAGTGATCGAACATCTTAGTTACCTCTATTAGAAACATTAACACGAAATAATAGTAAGCAACAAGTGCCGCGTTGCCGATGAATTAGTCTTCTAAGAGAAAGTTAATTAATTAATGTGTTTGTTACTTTTTTTTCTTGCCTTGGCCAGACCCGGCGAAGCAAGGTAAGACTTTTCAAAAAGTATAAGCTGCAAATCATGCTGTGGGCTAAAAATAATCTTCATGAGTCATTAAATGTGCAAAATTGGAAATACATATTTCAGTGATTACATATAAGTGTCTGTATGTACGTACACGTACACGTATTCTCGCTTTTTTATGATATTCCGTTGCAAACGTTTCTCTGAGCAAAATAAGCAATGGAATTAATCTAAAAAAACTTTCTATACGTTCTTCGATTGTCAAATATAATTTAACGTTCGACATTTTGTTTTGCAGATATATATGCACATATTACAATCATAAAATGACAAGAGCCACTAAGAGATGTAATTTTTGTCAATAACTGGATTAAATCAATAATTGAAAATTTCATCAGTAACATCGTTTGAAGCCATGCATGCAAATGTTAATTGCGCATGATAATTAAGTCGTTCGGAAGCAGTAAATTTTGGATTACAAAATTATTTGAAATTGCCAATTACCAGTGTCTAATGCTGACGGTACATTTATAATTTTGACACTAATTCCCTCGAAGAATCTCAACTTTATTATGCCGGATGCCTTGCATTGAATGTGTTTTCACCGTCTACATGCAAACAGCGTATCGAGTAACTTGATTGAGACAAACTAAAGTGTTGCACGAATTGAACTAACACGCTGTCAGCCGTCATCCCAATTTGAGAAACGGGAACGTCCGCTTGCTTACCGATCACTGACGGGACATTCGACGTACCGCGGGCGTGATGATCCGCGCAGGGTGCGATCTCTCGAAACTCGAATGGAATTTATATCACGCAAAAACCGTTCCGATCAGGTCGCGAGGTCGTGTTCCAATGCCGTGACGAGGGTCATCTACGTGCCAGAGTACGGTGGGTTCGCGGCAACGGCCTTCCTCTGCCGTCCGGCAGCCGAGACATCAACGGCCGCTTGGAGATACCCAACATCCAACTCGAGCACGCTGGAACGTACATTTGCGAAGCCGTGGGTTATCCACCGTCCACCCCAGGCCGTCAAGTTAGCGTCGCCCTCGCCGTCGAGAAGTGTACGTTCGTATTGTCTCGCCTCTCCAATTTACGGCCATGTTCGAGGAATTGATTTGCGATAAGATAGAAGGGAGCCGCTACTAGATTCGAAAGCTCTTTTTAATGAAGTTTCGCCGTGTAACATGAAATTAATTATCACGCAGTCGAGCAACCGGTCACCAGGCCGCCGCAAGTGTGCCAGTACGATCAGGCTACCTGCAGCAACGGCGACTGTATTCCCAAAACGTACATTTGCGATGGTAAATTCGACTGCACCGATGGATCCGACGAAATGCGATGCAGTAAGTATGATAGGTACCAAGGAAGCTGGGTATATCTGGCTTTCATACTCTATGGGAAATGAGACTTTGACGCGCCCTTGTCTCGCGACAGGTCTGCACGGATGCGAGCCCAACGAGTTCCGTTGCAATAATAAGCAGTGCGTCAGCAAGCTGTGGCGTTGCGACGGCGACAAGGACTGCGCGGACAACAGCGACGAGGAGAACTGCGCGCCGTCTCCTCTGGGCTATCCGTGCCGCTACAACGAATTCGCCTGCAGCAGCAATAAACAGTGTATTCCGAAGAGCTACCACTGCGACATGGAGCGCGACTGCTTGGACGGCAGCGACGAAGTTGGATGCTGTCAGTATCGAATGGGAATTTTATGAGTGCAAGGCATCAATATTTTATTGCCGACTGTCTGACGAGCTTCGTTTCGCGATCGAATAAGTTAAATGGCGGATGACAATATAATTTTCACAGTCGAACATTCTAAAATTATCAATGTACTTCTAAAGTCGAATTCATTTTTTATACCTCGATACATTTTACTATTTTATCAAAATGCTGTTGTGATAAGTTTTGAAAGTCAAATTTAGAATGTATCTCTTCTATTATGACTATTGTCTCATTAACAATCAATAATCCAATGAAATGTCATTATTGTTGGCCATTCAATTACAGAACTATATTCTCCCCTTGCAGCTCCCGTTTACATCGTGAAACCTCCACCGCCGATGGTCGTCCTCGTACCGGGCGACATGTTGGTCCTCACCTGCACGGCGGTCGGTGTTCCGATCCCGGAAATCAACTGGCGTCTCAATTGGGGGCACATCCCCGCGAAATGCACGACCGTGTCCACCAATGGAACGGGCACGCTGACGTGTCCGGACATAGAGCCGGAGGACCAGGGCGCGTACTCGTGCGAGGCGCTGAACGTCGGGGGCTTCGTCTTCGCCGTGCCGGATGCGATCGTTGTCGTAAAGGAACGCGGCAACGTCTGTCCGAGGGGCAAATTCAATTCCGAGGCGAAAAACGCCGAGGAGTGTATCTCGTGCTTCTGCTTCGGCGTCGCCACCGAGTGCCGAAGCGCCGATCTTTTCACTTATCAGATCCCGCCGCCGTTCGACCGTCACAAGATCGTCTCGGTCGAGACCGTCTCGACGATTAAGATCCACGGCGACGTTAGCAATCAGATATCACAAATCCGCCCGCTCGGCCGGGACGGCGTTCAATTGCTAGAATCCTTCAGCAATGATCTGAACGACTACAGCATTCCCTACTTCGCGCTGCCGGAGAACTATCACGGCAGTCAATTAAAGTCCTACGGCGGCTACCTGAAATACTCGATCCGCCACAGCGGTAACGGCACGCCGAACAACGCACCCTCTGTAATCCTGAGTGGCAACAATTACATCCTGGTGCACAAAAGTGAAGACCCAACGCCGGATTACGAGACCGAGAAGACCGTCAGGTTCTTCTACGGCGATTGGTACAAGCAACAAGGAAGAGGCGAGGTTCTGGCCTCCAGGGAGGAGATTATGATGACGCTGGCGAACGTGGACAACATTCTTATAAAGTAGGCATCGAGCCCAGGATGTTACTGATCACCGAAGTACCATTAGAATAATTTTTTTTTCAATACGTTTGATGTGTTTTAGAGTGAAATACGACGACTCGCCGCAGTTGGACGTTCGTCTCACCAACATCGTTATGGACACCGCCGATGTACGAAACACCGGTCTAGGATCCGCGTCCTTCGTCGAGGAATGTCAATGTCCCACTGGTACGTACTTCCTTGACAATTAATCAGAGATATTTAAGTAGAAGAATTCTATTTCACGGATTATCTTAATACTCTTCAAGGATACACTGGTCTGTCCTGCGAGCACTGCGCGCCTGGTTATCTGAGACGCGAAAGCGGACCGTGGCTCGGGCAATGTTACAGGGACGAACCACCGTGTCCTCCGGGATATTACGGCGATCCTTCAAGGAATATTCCTTGCCAGATTTGTCCCTGCCCGCATACCAATCCGTCGAATCAGTAAGACACAAACGGGTGAAATTTACGTTAGCGATATTTGGAAACAAGGCATAATTTGTCGTATTTCAAATAGGTTCGCCCGCACGTGTCATCTTGGCTCTGACGGCCAACCCACGTGCGATTGTCCTCCCGGCTACGTTGGACGCAGGTGCGAGCAGTGTGCCACCGGTTACCAAGGGAATCCCCTTATTCCTGGAGATATGTGCGTTCCACTTCAACAATGTGATCCTAACGGCAGCCTTAGTCCTAACGCTGATCCTCATACCGGAAAGTGTCACTGCAAGGTATAGATAGTGTTGATAATTAGCGCCGTTGCTAAATGTTATGTGTAATTTTGGGGTGTCTCAAAAATCGTGCGTTTCTTCTCGATCGCACAATTTTATCCAAGTAAAGATTCCTTCCTGTAAATAAATACTTAATAATCTGTGCGAGATAAATCGCGCGATTTCCCGGATACCTCGCGTAACGATTTTTACTATTGTTCTTGCATCCATCTCTCGTGGATTTCTTTTAACTTAAAAAATGTAAGTACATTATACAGTTCTTTTATATATGTAGACCTACGCAGATCGATGTTCACAGTAGAAATGAATGCTACAACATCGCGATCGAGAAGCGCCGTCTATTCTCTAATATTTCCTCTTCCAGCAATACGCAACGGGTCTTACTTGCAACCAATGTAAGGCGAATACCTTTAATCTGGCCTCCGCAAATCAATTTGGGTGCATAGCTTGCTTCTGCATGGGCATCACCAATAGATGTGCCTCTTCTAACTGGTACAGGAACGAGGTACGACAAAGTTATCTCATTACTTATTATATAGATAGTTGCTCTAAGAAATTCCTTCCTCCACAAGAAACTGCACAAGCGAGATTTTATATTCCATATAAACTTAACATAAAATCGACTGTACTGCATAACTTCGGAAATATAAATTATCGCTTGGCATGAAAATGTAAACCAATCGTTTGTACGTTGCAGATTCGTGTGTCATTCACCAACTCGATTCGGGGCTTCTCCCTGATCGAATCCAAGAGCACTGACACGCCAGACATTGTGGAGGGAATTCATCTGAACACCATCAGCCGGGAAATAGTCTACAGCGAATTTCCCAATCGTGGTAACAATGATGTCTATTACTGGCAACTGCCCAGCATTTTCCTAGGGGATCAAATAACATCTTACGGCGGCAATCTGAAGTACACCGTCAGATACGTGCCCTCTCCGGGCGGTCAGAGTTCAAGGAATAACGCCGCGGACGTCGAACTAATCAGCGTGAGTACACACCTTCGCGAATCCTAATCCGTGTACTTAGCGATGAAGATATAATAGAATGACTTAAAATATACAGGCTAACGACATCAACTTGCTCTATTACTCTCGCGAGTCTCCCGAGCCTAACTCCCAGCAATCATTCACCGTGCCATTGCTCGAGCAATATTGGCAACGTAACGACGGAACCCAAGCGGACAGGGAGCACCTTCTAATGGCCTTAGCGGATGTACGAGCCATCAGAATCAAAGCCACTTACACGACGCACACAGATGAAGCTGCGTAAGTACTTTACACATTCCTTATATCATCATTTTACATTCTTACATTTTTAATTACAATGGTAACTATATAATAAAAAAAACGATTATCTTCTAAATTTCTTACGAAACTATAAAAATTTTTAATAGATGAATACAATTTTCGACATTTTAAAACAACAGTTGCGGATTTATTCTATACTGTATTAAATGAAATTAAAAGCGAGTTTGCTTCAAAAGATTGTAAAATCTTGAATATTATTGCGATTTATCAAACGATATATGTTTCAGGCTCTCGTTTGTGTCTTTGGACACCGCCGAGAAATACAACACAGGTAAGGCTCGTGCGGTCGAAGTTGAAGAGTGTACTTGTCCCATCGGCTACAGAGGACTTTCATGCGAGGATTGCGACGTTGGCTACACTCGGGCCATCGAGGGTCTCTACTTAGGCATCTGCGAGCCGTGCAACTGCAATAATCACTCGAATCAGTGTGACCCTGAAACTGGCACTTGCGAGGTAACAAAAGCAATTTTAATCAAGCGACAATGTTACATAATATAATTGAATTCTTTTTTGCTACTTTATTTAAGTAAAGTTCTTTTTCAAAATGCAGTTTTATCTTTTCTGTACAGTTATTTTTAAAAAATGTGGAAATGTAAAAATTTAATTAAAACTTGAAATTTTATAAAGATACGACTATAAATTTGCAAGTAAGTATTCAGAAGTATGAGATACAAAAACACTCTATAGAATTGCGCTCATCATACCACCGGCGAGTTCTGCGAGCTGTGCGAACCGGGATACGAAGGAGACGCTAACCGGGGCACACCGGACGATTGCACATACAGAAATCCAAGACCTGAACCATGCAGATGTAACGAGGCTGGTGCGCGCAGCACTTCTTGCGTCGACGCCCGATGCGAGTGCAAGAGGAACGTCGAGGGTCCAGAGTGTAATCGATGCCGCCTGTCGACATACGGATTACACGCCGAGAACATTGATGGATGCATCGAGTGTTATTGCAGCGGGGTAACTGATCAATGTCACGAGAGCACATTGTACGTACAGCAAATACCGATGTGGGTATACGACTCACATCACGGTTTTACTCTCACGGACTCGTAAGTACATGCGTTTTATTTATTTTTTTCTAGAATAGCTTTCAAAATTAATATAAATGTGAATAAATTTTAATAATCTTTTCCCGTCTTCTTCTGATAAAAATAAAATTTATGTATAATATCACATAAAACTGAATTTTTAATTGATCGATTTCACGCTCTTATATCCTTCAGGACTAGACGCGACATAATCGACGACGGCTTCGAGCTAAATGTGGCGATGAATGAAATCGGCTATCGGTATCCGGATAACAGAAACCACAGACTGTTCTGGTCGCTTCCGAGCGTCTTCACCGGTAACAAGGTGAAGAGTTACGGCGGTAACTTGACTCTGACGCAGCATATCACCGCGTATCCTGGCGCTCAGAGTTATAAGGATCAAGACATTCTACTGATTGGCAACGGCATCACATTGTACTGGACAAATCCGGTGGAACTCCAACCCGAGATTCCGCTGGTACGTAGAATCTCTCTGATGTTTTATAGCTTTACGGGAAATCGAGGAATTCAATGTGAATTAAACCAAATTTTTAGTGATTACACTTGGCAAAATATTTTTTAACCGTATAATTATTCGAATCGAATCCCTTCGCACGTGTTTAAATTGAACGCTGTTATACAATTTATCTTTTACTTTATTTTAAACGTGATGCAGCGAGCTCTATGTAATATAAATTAAATTGGAATACGAATATGTTTCGCAATTATAAAGGAGACGTGTATATCTTTCGCAGACCTATCACGTTCCGTTGAAAGAGCACGAATGGAGCCGACTGACCTCTGAAGGACCGCGCAGAGCTTCCAGGACGGACCTCATGATGGTGCTTTCCAATCTGGAGGCTATTTTGGTCCGCGCGTCCCACAGCGAGCGAATGACCGCAACATACATCAGCGACATCAGCATGGACACAGCCGTGGAGAATCAGGTCGGAAACCGACGAGCGACTCAGATCGAGGCTTGTCGTTGCCCGGCCGGCTACACGGGCACCTCCTGCGAGACCTGCGCCCGCGGTTATTACAGAGACACCAGCGACCGGACTGTCAGTTACTTGGGCGCGTGCAATCTCTGCCCGTGCAACAAGAACGAGGAGAGCTGCGAGATCAGCAGATCCGGTCATATCAAGTGCCATTGCCTGCCGGGTTACTCGGGACAGTATTGCCAAGACAGTGGTGTCGGTAAGCAGTTTCTTAGTATTTGAAATATTATATGCTGAATTGTATTAGCATTTCTGATCATTTTCGTTTGCGAATATGAATATGAGCTTGAAAAAGAAACGAGCGATAGATTATAGCGTAGAGAAATTAATTTAGGAAGTCAAGTTATCTAATGTGTTATGTTCAACTGACTTTCTGTGAACGCGAGAGCAGAATTCTTCTCGTGATTATCTTATAGTTAAGAAATGTCTTAAACTCGCCCAAGAATGGTAATAACGTCACGTTGGTCAGGTGAACTCATGGTAAGCCTAATGCCCATGAAAGGCGAAGTCGAGCCGTACTCCACGATCCAATTTACGTGCAACTATGACTATCCAGACATGTTTCACATCTATTTTAAATTGTCGTCGCTCGACGGATTTCCTGTAACTGCGCGGAGCGGCAAAATCGGCCCGATAGTGAAGACAGAGAAAGGAGCTGTCCGCACATGGTTCGTCCATATGAGACGTACTCCCTGCAACGTGGAATGTCACATCGTGAATTACCGTGGCAAAGAACTGGTCAGGATCGTGACTTCGATTACGCCAGGTTTGACGGACTACGTAGCGAGAGCTTTCGCATCTTGTCCGTCCATCGGTGACTCATGGCGAGGGAGAGCGCTCGGATCGTCATTTCGTAACCATGCCTGCGTTGTCGTCGGGTCTTCATCGTAGATCATCATCGTAGATCGTCACCAAGTCTGGTGAAGGCACTTCCTTGGATTGTAGTTGTTATCACAATTCCATAGTTTTTCTTTCGCAAGAGCAGTACGTGCGGGAAAGCTTGGCTTTGTTCTCTGGTACATGGCACTCAGTATCATGGGCGTCCTGTCGATGTGTACCGTAAAATGTGTGTACCGTAGCAATTAATACAAGTCATTCCTCGAAATAACCGTCATTGTAATGATGTCTCGTCAAAATGTGATGGTGGTTGCATTCCTGTGTCACGGACAAATGTCGCTTATTCATTGCAGTGTATTCGCAGATTTGCAAGATTCAGTAATCGTCCATGTAGAAAAAAGTGTGAAAGAAAATCATCGCGTTCGCTTTCAAAAAGTTTTCCTTTCATTTCCCTGACAGTTGAAGAACCGCATACCACTACGCCGAGTCCAGTATCTCCACCGAGGATCATAGTTTACATACAGGAGCCGGAATTCCAGATCGTCCACACTGGAAATACCGTCCGATATCATTGCACAGGCAGATCGAGAGATAGCGTAAGTCTTTCATTGACTTTTGATTTATAAAATCTTTTTATGGACGTAATTACAAGCCATCCTTTATTTATGGTTGAAAATAGGAGTCGGTACACATCAGATGGGAGAAAGAAGGTGGCCAATTACCGCCTGACAGAAGCGTAGATGACTCGTACGGATTGTTGGTCATTAGAGACGTGAAGGTATCTGACAGCGGTATATACGTCTGCCAAGTGAGCGATGGAATAAATATCGGGTATAAGAAAGTCTCGCTGACTGTTGGAGGTATGTTTAATTGTAATTGCATAGAGTTCAATGTAATCTCGTATTCTTCGGCATTATGGGTTGGAGAATAGATTAACAAATCAACATTGCGTATTTAATTCTTACACATTGTACTATTGGACGCAGCATTTCCAAAGCACTTGCTGGAAATACCAGGTACAAATCGTAACCGTGTCAAGTTGTTCGCGAAACAGAGTGTAATTTTACATATCCTTCTTTAAGGAGCCAGTCCGGTGGAGCCTAAAGCCGTTATTAGTCCATCGTATCAGCAAGTGAGGGAAGGCGAACCGGTTGAGTTCCGCTGCGAAGCCACTGGTAATCCGCCACCCCAATTGGACTGGATGCGAGTGCACGGAAGCATGAGTCCAGAGGCGACATTCTACAACGGCGTGTGGAGTCTTCCAGCCGCATCGAAGAACGACGCAGCCGAGTACAAATGTGTCGCTAGGAACAACGTCGGCACAGACGAGAAGACGACGATCTTATACGTTCAAGGTACAGTCAAAATATTGATGTATCTCAAAACTATTTTACAGAGTTATTTTTAAACGCTAACGCTAATTTAATAATATGAAACGGAAACCTACGGCTTACGCACGCATGCCTTGTTCTTGAAGTTATTTGTTTTGTGTTACAGACAATCCTAACAAACCGCCGCCTCAAGGCTTGCCGCCGACCATAACTCCGTCCGAGTGGTCCGGAACCAGCGAAGATGTCGTCAGACTGGTTTGCACGCCGTCTCAACATGCAAACGTCACCTGGACGAGGTCCGGCGGATTGCCGCTGCCTTATACCGCCAGTCAGCGCGACGGGGTCTTAACGATCATCAATCCCACCTCCAGCGATTCCGGCATATACGTGTGCACCGCGACGAGCGTTCGTGGAACGGAGACGAGCACCACCGCTAGGATTACGATTACGTCCCACAGAGAACCACCGACGATCAAGGTCAGGCCGGAACGGCAAGAAGTGTCACAGGGCACAGTGGCAGAGGTGCGATGCATTACCAGCGGAGAGCCAGGTCTACAGGTGAAATGGAGCAAGTACACGGAAACGATGAGTCCTCGTGTCCAGCAAGTAGGGGACACGCTCAGGATTATTAATGTCCAGATCTCCGACCGTGGAGTGTACATCTGCCGGGTTGGCAGCCCCACGGGCAGTTACGAGGCCAGTGCCATCATCGAAGTTGAACGTAAGCTCGTAATGTGACACTAAAAAGAAAAACTCGCCTCCGAATTTTCTATATATTGGTCATTCTTATTCGGATGACACTCAAAGCAAAAAAGCATTTTAAAATATTTGGACAAAATAAATTTTTATTCTCACAATTGCACGAAAACTCAAGCGCGATATCAATCGAGAAAGAATACACATTCATAGATAATGCAATCGGCAACTGATTTCTCGTAATAGAAATTCATTTTTATTCCAATCCCTCTTTATTATTTCAAATTCTGCAAAAGCGAATCATCTGTTTATTGCAGCTCGCGAGGCTCCAATTTTAGAGCTGTATCCACAAGATGTACAAACGGTCATCCTCGGCGGTTCCGCTGATCTTCAATGTCGCGCGAAGGCCGGCTTCCCGGTACCCGAATTGCAATGGTCCCGCCAAGACAATCGACCATTCGCTTCCAACGTCGAGCAGCTTCCTGGCGGACTTCTCAGACTGTCGAACATCACGGCGAACGACGGCGGTGCTTACATCTGTTCCGCGTCAAACGAAGTCGGCTCGACGTCGGTCATCGCGCACATCGAGGTGCAGTCCATGCCTGTGATCACCATCACTCCGAAACATGGTATCTTGACTGTTAAACGTGGAAGTCGAGTCCGTTTAATGTGCAGCGCGAGCGGTCATCCGCAACCCAATGTAGCTTGGAGCAAACACATGAACGGAATAACTATACAGTAAGTTAACTTTATTATCGTTGCGCGATGTTGTAGACCTGCTAGAATTATCGTAACAACTGTAGAAATTAATTTGCAATTATTTTAACAAGTAAATTTAAAAGTAAAACCCTACATTATTAAAATATAAATTCTGTAAGGTCTGAGCAGTGGAAAAATTTTATTGCGCTATACGTAAATTATGGCGTTACATGTTTAAAAATTAAATCTGAACTACAGTTGACTTGATTCCAACAATTAGAATTATTGTTTTAAGTGTTACATAATAATTTCATGATATTGTCATGATTTACAGTGAGTATAGCAGAACAGCGGCTACTCCCTTGAGCGCCGTTTACGAAATATTCTCCGTATCATCCGACGACGAAGGCTCCTACACTTGCCAAGCCACGAACCCCGTAGGAATAGCCGAAGAGCGTGTCCAGATCCGCATCGAGGACGACGATGATGTGCCATGCACTGGCGACAGAGGCGATATTCCGTGCGACGATCGACAGCAGCCGCAACCTGATGTGTGTATTACAATTCTGTTGCCGTACCTTTAATGTGTGATACACAATAGGGATATGTTTTTGATAAAAACTGATTTGCAGAGAGACCCGAACCAAACAGGAGGAGGCGTACTGATTCCCAAAGACTACTTGAGAATTCCGAACGGCGGCAAAGTGGAGATGCGTTGTCAGGTCTTTGGCCCGGATGGAGCCCACATCTATCTAGATTGGAAGAGAAGCGATCATCGCTCCCTTCCGGAAGGCAGCACGGTGCTCAATGGAGTACTCAGTATTCCGACCGTTGACACGAACGCGGCCGGAGAATACATCTGCTTGGGCTTGGATCCTGCCGGCGCCGTACTCTTCCGAGCGAAATCTCATCTTGAAATTATATGTGAGTGACACAAACGAAATGCATTAAATTAATTATAGAACTACAAGATTTAAATTTACAAAATAAATTTGAGAGTAACAGCTTTTCCTCGACAGTTTCCTTAACGGGAACTGCATTAACTTTTTTTGTTCGATTTCTTTTTCTAGCTCCGCCGAGAATCGAATTAAATCCAACACGTCAAACAGTGGGACCTGGAGAAAATCCATCCATAATTTGCACCGCCACAGGAGACGAACCCCTACATATTGAGTGGGAGGCTATAGGTCGCCCGTTGCCATATTCTGTATCGCACAACGGCGGCATCCTGCAATTCCATGGTATCACCTATTCCGACGCTGGCAAATATGTGTGCAAAGCAACGAATGCAGCAGGAACGGCGGACGCGGTAGCAGAAGTTTTAGTCAATGGTTGGTTGATAAGTAATTAAATTTTTTTTAATTTGCAGTATATAAAATCTTCCATTTCCTTTTAAGTATAATAACATTTGGACATTCAAAAAAATATTCAAAATTCATTGAAAGAAAAATGTAAGGAAGGAATATATGTATAATGCAATTACATGTTTTATGTTTTTTTTGTACATTAGGCATCTTGTGTATAAAAAATATAAATTTTTGCGTAATAAAGTGCAATGTGATTTCTTAGTATTTGCTAAAACAATATAAGTATCCGTCATGTATAATGCACTATGTGTTTAATAAATATTTGGGACCCGGAAAGCTAATTGACATTCACGATTTGCAGAACATTCTTACGATAATGCAAGGATCCGCGCTGAACAAAGAGATGTGGTAACTTACGCCGGCAATTCCGTGCGCTTACGTTGCGAGATGCGCGAACGTGCGATGATCCATTGGAGCCGAGATGGGCAACCCTTGCCGGCCAACGCGCGAATCGGAGAAGATTACTTAGAGCTGGTGCAAGTGAAACCGGAGGATAGCGGAAAATACATCTGCCAGGTCCACACGAGCCGCGGCGTATCCAGCGATTATATTAATTTCAATGTTTCTCGTAAGTTTCGCCTTTCTTTTCACTAAGTCCCGGTCGTTTCAGCATCACTTCATAGATTTTTGCTTTCATCCGAATGCATCTATTGAAGATCGCAGTACACACGCTGAAGGAGTGTTTCGCCTGTTAAGAAATCTTAATTTTTGCCTTTAATCCTTTCGGGATGTTGCAATCTACAAATGAGAAATGTTGCCATTACTCCGACATTAATCCCGAGAGGGTTAATTCACAAACTGCTTTTTTTTACAAAATACTTTGCTATTCTTGAGTGATTTTTCACCGAAGGACATTTTAGACTGGTCCATCTGAAGATTTCAACTTCTCATTTGGAACACGACCGGTATAAAACTGCCGATTCCACGTTTGTCTTAAGAAAAGAAATAATCAGCACATAACTTACTTATATCGAAACTTTTAATGGATAAATGATGATACAAATATCCAAGTAATTGAGAGACTAAAAATATTAAGTCGGTTTTTTAATACTAATCCAACGCATCACTCACGTATCACTAACAAGCGCGCAGCAGATTGCTCTCAAGCAACACAAATAGCAAAAGACATCATGGATACATTAGAGAAGTGTCCAATATTCTTTCCGAAGTTTCTTGAACTTTTTGTATTGTTTGAGCTGTTAACGAGATCATACATAAATATATATATTTATTTATTACAAACGTGGTTTCATGAACGTCTTCACAAGTTCAGGTTTTTTTACAAGACTCGCGTTATGATTTAGTAGTTAATTTGCTTGCGGATTGCATGCCAGTGTACCGATCGCAGTGCAGGCACTGGGAGTATCAATGCAGAAGCCTACAATGCATTCCGATGGAAAACTTTTGCGACGGCTATGTTCAGTGCAACGACGGTACTGACGAACGCTTCTGCCGCAACGCGCGCTATCGCCAATATCTTCAGAGACGACGCGGTTTGTTTTGAGATATATGTGTGTCGTGTGACGTCCCGTAGTTCTCCTACTTGTAGTGAACTGTCCTTTATATTCTTGCTTACTGTACGAGTCTATGAGGTAAGGATACGGATTAGGGTGGAAGTTTCTTGGCCGAGACCAGACTCGGGTAATGATAGACAAGCGAAATAAGATCCTAAAGTGTTTCCGGCCAGTTATCGTTTTTTGAAACGCAAAAATTCGGCGCGAAAAAAGTGCACGCCACCCGTATCCCATCCTTGTCAGCAGCATATACAATTATGTGTAAATCAACATATACTTAAGACCTCTGAGACCCTAGTTCGAAGCTACTTTTCGCTAGAACTCTTGTACCAAATAGATCTTTATATAATTCTTTTGCATCTCCAAGTGTGCTAATATTACTTCAACGGGGAAAAATTTTTTCTATGTACATTCTCTGCGATCTTATTTTTCTATTTACTCAATTTTTTCACAACAAATTTCAAGCGTGGTAAAACGAACTCAGGTACATCGGATACATCGAATAGATCACTGCGGCCCGATCTCGCGGTTTATTTTAGAAATCAAGCGAAGATTATAATTTCTTCGCGACGATGTGCAGAACAGAATATATATATATATATATATATATTTTCCCAATTTGACAGTCAGTCTTAACGTGTGGCCAATATGTATAATTCGATTCTAGCTGCTGCGGTGCCTTCAATAAGCATCGAGGTGTCCCAAGATCCAATAAACATCGGCGATACGGTCGACATACATTGCACATACGCTGGAACACGCAGTCCACGTTATCGTTGGACGAGACCGAATCACGTCAGCCTGCCAATAAATGCTCAAGAGTACGGCAATATCTTGAGATTAACTAATGTAGCCGTTAGCGACAGCGGGCCCTACAGGTGCATAGTAGACACGCCCGAAGGTGTACTCGAAAAGGACTTCAATCTGATCGTCCACGGTAATTAACAGACATATAACAAATAACGATAGATATATATACAGCAAATACATAGATAAAGTATTCACATAGAATATTACATCCATGCGTATATAAAAATATTTTCTATAAAATATCTCTTTTTTTTTGTCAATGCTTACTCAAATTGCATACGTTTTATGTAAGTATAAAGCCGGCGAACAATTAAGTTTATCGCAAAAATATTTGTGGACAAAGGATTTTACGACTTTCCAGGTGGAATCCTCGATGAACCAGCGATTGAAACGAAATTCGCGCCATATGGGTCACGTCTGGAGATGGATTGCCGTCTGGATCTCGATCCGCCAATACAGTTCCAGTGGAGTAAGCTTGGTGGACTTCTGCCACGTGATAACCATATTTCTGAGGTACATAAAATTCACGCTTATTATTTCTATCAAATCAGCTCTTGTATAATAGTTACATAGCTTAATGAAATATTGCGTGCTATTCGATAATTTGATATATATTTTTTATTTTGCAGAACAAATTAAAGTTGAGTAATGTAAAAGCCGAAGACGCTGGAACATACATTTGCGTAGGAAATAATGGAGAAACACGTGTCGAGGTGCCTACGGTGCTGGTTGTAACAGGAGTCGTGCCTAATTTTAGTCAGGCACCCGAAAGCTACATCGCTTTCCCGCCACTACCCGATTCCTATCTTAAGTTCAACATCGAAATCTCTTTCAAACCAGAAAGTTACGACGGCATTTTATTATACAACGACGAGTCAGGCCAGGGCAGTGGCGACTTTATCATGCTGTCTCTAAATAATGGATACCCGCAATTCAAGTAAGTAAAAGATCTTGTGAAATACGCACGTGCACACAAGTGCCGCATGTTATTCTAAACGCGCGTATTAACACCACGAATTACTTAATAGATTCGATCTCGGCTCCGGAATAGCTGTTATTAGCGCGAATAACTCTGTTATTCTGAGCGAGTGGAACACCATCAAGATCCAACGCAATCGAAAGGAGGGTACGATGCTGGTGAACGGCAAGGGCCCTTACAAGGTGCTCGCTTCGGGCAGACGCCAAGGTCTCGACCTCAAAGAGCCCCTTTACATCGGCGGAGTGCCCAGCGGCGGCACAATCAACCCACAGGCTGGGGCGAACACAGGTTTCGTCGGATGCATCAGCCGACTAGTCCTCGGGGAGAAACAGGTCGATCTGATCGGCGATCAGACCGAGAGCGCGGGCATCACGACCTGCGAGACCTGCGCCGAGAATCCCTGCAACAATGGTGGTGTATGTCAGGAAGCGGCCACAAAGAACGGCTACACATGCCTGTGCCGAGACGGTTTCAGCGGCAAGCACTGCGACAACGTCGGGCAATCCTGTTACCCAGGTATTTTATATAATTTGACATTTTAATTTATACTTTTGTCCTTGTTATAGATACAGTGATATCTGTCAGTTTTAATTACCGTCTATTTTGTAATACTTATAATTATACATTTACTGACCTTAAGATTAAGAATAAATTCATTTATTAATTCTTACATCTAAAATTAATTGCGTGCATAACACGCGTAGGCTTCCTATTTCTAAAAGTAAAAAGCTTCAATATTTTATTCGTCCAATTTAAAGTCTCGAAGCACTCATATTAAACGAATTGAATAATGTCAGGTGCTTGCGGAGAAGGTAAATGCGTCGACAAAGAAGTCGGCTTCGATTGTTATTGCCCGATCGGGAAGACAGGATCAAGATGTGAACATTCGGTGAACATCTACGACCCGGCTTTCCATAATGATAGAGCTTTCATCGCTCACGAGACTCCAAAGGCTCTTAGACGGTGAGTACCGCCGCCCCATCTAACGCACGTGCATGAACTATTTCTTAATGAATTGCATTGTTAGTCAATGTTAGAAATGCACATAATAGAACATATTATCATAGATTGCGTCTCATATATCTATTTTATTTTGATTTTTCTGAAGTAATCGTTTTTACATAGTTCACCCGTGAAAAATGAGTGAATAAAACAAAAGAAATAATACATTCTGCAAAATTATTATTTTTAATATTGTAAATTAGGAAGGTACCGAATGTAAGTGTAAAAAAAAGAATGGTTAGAAATGAATTTTAATTAATAAACTTCGTGCCCTTGTTTGAGAGAAATCTTCGAAACACGAAAAGTTCTATATAGGATTGTTATAAATGTAAAGATAAATATTATAGAAATGTATCTTCACGCCTTTGACGAACTAACAGACTCAATTATAATTGGAATATAGGTACTAATCTCATTGCCAGTGCACATGAGCATCCTCAAGCATCCTAATTACTAAAATTCTTTTCAGGGAAAGAGAGAGTTCGACCACTACACACAGTCGATCACGATTACGCAACGCACAAGTTAGGAACCCACGATCAAGGCCACATCACCACAATAATTTGCACCACACAAAACATTAGCTAGACCTAGCACCAATTTTACGCACTTAGAGAATCATTACTTATCCAATCACAGCAATAATGAACTTCTCCTTCCGCAGATGTAATAAATCACCATGCATAATGAACTACTTAAAGTTTTCAAGATACGTTTATGTCGAAGAAACGTATCTTTTACGTAATTTTTCACTGCCTTTTTCTTTCTTTATTTGACACGCGATGGTTGTATAGGGGGGAAAAAAAAGAATAAGCAATGAGTTCTTAACAGGTACTTTGTGCAACGAGCCTGCATAGTGCGTAGTTCCTTGTAATGGACATCACGGTGCTGTAATGTTAGAACAACAGTCAATTTACGAATTAGTAATTAATATGTTTTGTACAGCTTCTTAATTAATACACTTAACGCGTTACTTTAGTCATTATTAATTATTAAAAGTAATACGTGAAGTCACTGCCAAATCAGTCGCATTTAACAGTTAGTCCCCACTCAAGCTTAGAAAACGTCAAAGTCATAGCATCCACATACGTGTATATGACAGTTATATATGACAGCATATGTAAAATGTTTGTACTTATATATCTAAGAATCTATATATATATAAATATTAAAAGAAAAAGATATTTCACGTACGAGTGATCGTTTATATACTCAGCGAACTCATGCTATACGAATAAATATTTTTCAAGCAAATAAACAGAATTTAATATAAGTTACATACTTTAGTTTAAGTCAATGTTTCATACGATTTCATCACCTTGCATGTCGTAAAATGCTAAAAAGATATAAGACGAAGAGGTAAGTTTTAAGACAAAAACATTACTCATATATTTGTTTTGATAGCGTTGCTTAATTAAATGAGCTTCTCGTATATTTTCCCGTACACATGTGTATATGTAAACCTTTCGTTTCCCACGTTCTTCTCAACCCTTTTGCACGCGTGCAAGTTATAACGCACTTAGTTGCCACTAAACTAATTCTAATTAGCTTTTTTTTCATGCAAAGTATAAGACAAAGAAATACGAGACATTCTCATACAAATATTTTACGCATAAGAAAGATAAAATGTAAAAGTGTGCAGATTGAGTTTTATAAAAGTAAACTAGACGATGAATTAACACGCCACATACGTAGCTTCAAATCTTCTGACAATGTAAAATAATACGATTTCTTTATTTGTCCCATGCCGACTTTTTAGGCTTAAGGTAGCCATGAGTTTTAAACCTGCGGACACTGGGGACGGGATCTTGATGTATAGCTCTCACAGTGACGAGGGCCTCGGGGATTTTGCAGCGCTCGTAATAAAGGACAGACACGTCGAGTTTCGCTTCGATATCGGCTCCGGATTAACGACAGTACAATCGCCGTACGTCGTACAACCCGATGTATGGACGTCCATCGTGGTGAATCGAGATTTCAAGGATGCGAAATTGTCGGTGAACAGGGAACCGTTTGTGGAAGGCAAGTCACTCGGGGCTGCGAGAACCATGAATCTGAATACGCCTCTTTACATCGGAGGGGTAGATCACAGAAGGATTACGATCAATCGGAACGTCGGTGTCGATCGCAGCTTCCGTGGTTGCATAAGCCAAGTAAGCAACATTATTAATTTTATACGACACATGTACAAGACTTAACAATTATTTAATAACAAATTTTCCATAAAATTTAGGAGCAGTTAGCATTTTTATTAGCGTAAACAAAGTAAGAGGCTTCTTTTATTTTGATATTCGACACTTACTATAATATCTCGTTGTTTTAACTAATCAAATCAAAGAGAACTAAATCTCTGTGAAATCTTTTAAAATTTATAAAGAACAACGTATTATAATAATTAAAAATTCCATCGCGATAAAGGAGGAGAAACTCCATTTAATGGATATTTGTTGATTTATGTTACAGCTCGAGGTTTCGTCGGTCAGTTTGGACATAGTGAAGTCATCGATCGACGCGGCCAACATCGAGGATTGTTCAGAACCTCATCCAAATTGGACGATCCATACCACTCCGGCGTCCACGCAGCCACCAACAACATCGTACGACCCTTGTGCATCGAATCCTTGCATCCACGGCCAGTGTCAAAGTCTAAGCGATGACTATTCGTGTGTATGCGAATACGGATACGCGGGCCGGAACTGCGAGAAGATGCAGAAGCAATGCGAATTTCTCACCCCGTGTAGAAACGGCGGTACCTGCACGGATCTCCATGAGTCTTACAAGTGCGATTGTCGCCTCGGTTACAACGGGCAAAATTGCGAAAAGCGTGAGTGCAAAGTGTACATACTATTCATATCTAAATTACAATCTACTGTGTAGACAAAAATTATTTCTCGCGACGTTTACATAGACACGTTTAGACACATTTCAAATAATATAATAATTAAAAAATATTTAAATATGTGTAATCATACATATTATATGATAATATGTATATTATATATTAAATATTAAAGATATATACTTTAGAGAGAGAGAGAGAGAGACATAATAATTTAAAGATATAAATTAATAAATTAATGAACGATTTAATTGCGAGTAATATGATTATATATATTTGCAGTGGCAGAGATAACGTATGATGTTGCCTTCAGAGGAGATGGTTGGCTAGAACTAGACAGATCTGTCATGACGCACGAAGAAGAGCGTGAGGTTTTAGGTCTCGAGATCAGCACTAATAAAAGCCACGGACTGATCATGTGGCACGGTCAAACACCGAATGATCTAAATCCCGATGATTACATTGCTGTTGCTGTAGTAGATGGGTAAGCGATATACACGCAGTATAAGATAAAATTATCCTGCTGTTCTTGTCTTAAGATATTGATGAATCTTTGAACAGTAATATCATTTTGTGGGTTTTTTTTTGGCAGGTACGTGGAGTATCAATACAACTTGGGCTCTGGTCCCGCTGTGATTCGCGTTACTGCCCAGCGCGTGGATGATGGGGAACGACACAGGATAATCCTGAAACGTCAAGGAAGCGACGGCAGCATCGAATTAAACGGCGAGCACACCGAGAGCGGTGTCAGCGACGGGCTTCAGCAGATCCTGAGCGCGAGGGGTAGCGTTTACTTGGGCGGCTTACCGGACTACGCGATGACTTACGGCAGATATCACGACGGATTCTCCGGTTGCATTTACACACTGGAGGTGCAGGACTCAGGGGCTATCGATATCGGCGAAAAGGCCATCAGAGGAGTAAACGTTTCACCGTGCACCAGGTAAATACTTTGCGATTTTAAGAAGAATCCTTTCTCCAAGTCTGCAATTTCGCGGTACCTGTCATGTTAAGCCGCTTCAACCGTGTGAGGTCGATTCTTTCTCTCACGGATCTTCAGATTTTTTCATTAATAAATTTTTTAAGACTTAAATTATATTAACAAACTTGATTACTTGATTCAACAAACGGCGCAATGTCTTTACAAGTATACGATCTTCAATTACTTCGAGCCGGTAATCTAATGAATTGTAGGAATTAATCGAACAATATTGACTGTTAAAATAACTATGTACGGTAAGATAATGTCTGAAATGATTAATCTCATTGGATATTTCCTCGCATGCTGCTCAGAGTAAGATGGATACCGTCTTCGCTGGTGTTCACGGATGCGGATGCGGACACATTCGATGATTTCGTACCACCGCCGCCGGTGAACATTATTCACCCAAAACCCGCGTCCAATCTCGCCGCGTACGACATGACAAGTTACTCGTTATTAATTCTACTTCAAAATCTCATCGCTTTGACTAGGGATATTAAGGAGCAAAGTGTACTTTTCACATTGTTATGCGTAGACGCAGTTAACGTTCTCAACGGCTTGTTGAGCTAAATAAGTAGAACATTAGCGAGCTCACTTGTCGGGGATACACATTTGCCTTTAGACCAAATCGTTATTCAATCGTTATCAGGTCGGGCTACGAATGTACAGTACTTCAAAGGGCGTGTGTATTTCTGCGAGTTCTTGCATACGATTGTACAGTTAATAAATTTGTAAATTATTTAATGCTTAACACACCGACGGAGATAACACGGCGAAAACTACGGTATGTCACTTCTCCAGCCTTCCAGACTTTCTTCCGTTACAAATACTCGATGTTCAATTATTACTTCGTATGACATTATGTATGTAACTTGTCACTAAATATCTGTCAATCTTACGTGGCTCTTTTTCATTTTACAGTGATCGAACTGATAGACTTCCCACACGTGGTGACCTCGAGAGATACTGAAGAGAAAATCTGCATTTGCATCTTGAAGAATGTACCGTGAATGTACCATTGACGAGCGATATTGTTAATGTGAATGCCGCGTTTAAATACAAATATATACGTTAAATTTTTCATACATACCTAATATTTTGAGGAGGACGCTAGAAGTATAAAGGATCAAAAGCAAATCTGTTGTTACAGCTAATCAAACGTTGTCAGAACATTGTGTAACATAAAGGTGCAACTTTTCGATTTGGTTTGACGGGACATCCTGTATATGCGCAAAAATCGAAAAGTGAAACGTATTTAAAATACATGTATTTCTTTAATGATTCATTATGAACGACTTGAGGTAACATGTGAAAGATACGAAAGTAACTATTGCTAAGCGAGCAACAGAACAATTTTATATCCATAGATATACAGAGTCTACCTGCACTAATATATTGCTATCGATATTTTATAATTAAAATAACTATAACGTTTTATACCGCTTTATTTGTACAAAAAGAGATAGATACATTCAATTCGCAAATAACGAATCGTTATTTTAAAAGCGACAGAAAATTTATGCATCATTGTCATCTACAATCCATCACTCACTATCAGTTGCAATGTAAATACGGACGTAGCGATTAAGCTTCTCAATTATCATGTCTTTCCCCGTCTCTCCTTAGGTCTGTTTCTTATAATCAAGCTTTGCGGTATCTTATTTTTGCGAATCAGCTGGACGACTTCGAGCAGCTGATACGGTGACTGATACGAGAGGAAAGATGAAGTTGACGATAAAGTACATAGTTATATAATTTTTCACTGCCATGTGCTGAGTTATTCATATTTAAAATATGACAAGGTCCTGCGCCGTAGAAGGGACAGATATTATTCACTGGCGTATGAGTGTAATCAAAGCTTTAAGACTTTGATATATCTCCCATTATATTACCGAAAAGACAATAAATTCTCGTCATAGCCAATGCCATTTCATTGGAGAAACGATAAACGACTTTTTAACGATGTTAGATATTGCATTTTTGCACGTTGAAAAGAGAATGCACATTTGTATATTTATAATGCGAAACACATAAGTTTTACGGACATTACTCTCCCCCCCCCCCCCCCCATTGACGTCGGCTATTAATCTCTGAAAAGCAAGATCCTTGAAGCAAAACGCGTACATCAATAATCAAAGAGAGTTGATGAACTGTTGATTCTTCGAATCCAGATTGCACTCATACCATGATGAATACTTATCATTTATCGTATACATATACATATGTAGGTGCTTAAATGTGATTTTTAATACGAGGGAATAACAGGTGAATTAATCAAGGATTGATAAACAAATGATGAATGAGTAACTGACAGCATCATCGAACGTACGTACGTTTTTTTATTAAACAAATTTTAATCAGTCTGCGTGATATATGAAACGAAGAAAGTTACGTATGAGAGAGAGCGGTAGGCATAAGGATGGCATAAAAGAATCGTGTGTGTTGCTACATATATAAAATTTATATCAAATAGATTACGAGAGATTCGCGTATAAAGTAAACAGTAATTAGCACTCTCTATATTCGAGACCTTGTGAAAGTAAAACGTACAATTCGATAATAATAATAATTGTTCGGCCATCAAGATATATCGTATATCTGCACACGTAGATTATTCCAGATATCGGTTCAAGTGCAATATCTGCAATAAAGCAATTACTTTACTATATTTTCAAACGATTGAAACAATTAATTTTAGTCTTTCCAAGCCACTGGACTATATTAGATATAGTTGTAGACACAATGTTTTCATATCGGTAAAACTTCTCGGATAATTAACCGTCGATTAAATACGTTTTCCGTGTGTCTATTTTATAAGTTTACATGATAAAAATTAGACTATATTCATAGTATAATTATTACAAATATACGAGAGAAATTTGCAGCCAATGCATTCTTCTGAACCTTTTTTTGTTCTTCACATTTTCTCATTAATATTTACTTCGTCAAGAAGTATTGTTTAAATTGTACAAAATGCTATATTTTTCAATGATCTTTACATATAACGTACCGCAGTATGTGCGCTATCGATATATAATGTTTCGTTAGTATGTTCTTTACGGTATATAATCAGATTAATCAGCCAAACCATTGCGCGCGACGAAAGGGAAAAGTATCACTGAACGAGATTCTACAGATTGCCTTTAGATATTATTTGAGGAATGAGATACCGAGATAATGTATCATAGCCCCCGTGGAATTTTCTACGATCGCTACGATTCTATTATAACACTGTAAATGATCATGTACAGAAGAAACCGATGCATATACCTGTATATTATATTCTAACACACTTCAACCGTACACTCCGACATCGAATGAACGCTTTTGGATGTTCATGCAAACGTTAGTTACATAATACTGTAATATGTACGTATATTGCATTATATGTACAGGGTGCAATCACAAATATTCCGGTCTGAAATGCCTTCTTCACGCAATTGCGGCGCTCGGATGAATAATGTCAGTGGCATCCTAATTAGAACACTTCAATTAGCAGCGATATTTCAGGTGGTAATAGCTAATATTGCTCCGCCCTGTATATAAAATCACTACTGAAAGTATCTACCGTAATACATAAACATAAATGTAGTCTATTGTTACATAATAATTCTTCAAAGAAAATGAGACAATAAATTATAATTTTGCTAACAAACTATATATTGCCATTACTCTAGTGAAATTGGAATTTCTCCATCCACGAAATTTCCAATTTCTACTTTAGGTCAAGCTTAGTCCTAACGGGAATCTGCAGGAAATACACAAGAGCGAGAATCGTGTTAGTAAAAATTTATTTACATGGCTTTACAAAATTCATTTATTACTATTCTTTTATTTCATATACTAGCATATACATTGTAATTGTTAAGTAACAACTGTTACGCTAAACCTGAGCTATCCATGCTTCTCTAAGAATGTTGAAAAAATATAATTTACTAGACAAGTAAATGTGTAAATTGGCATTAAGTATACATATGTACAATAACTATATATCACAATTAAAATTACTTAAGTATTGAAGACAAAACGGGTCGGTGATGATTCACTCTTTTTTTTTCAAAATTATGTATACGCGAAAAGCTCTAAATTTTCCTACCTATGCTTATCTAATTGTTTTCTACGAACATATAAAAATGTTGCTTTTTATTTGTCAGAGGCGGATCCTACAAAACGGGACTACAACACTGTAGGGTGCTATGAGTTAATCTTATATCCAGAAATGAATGGAAGCCCTGTACCTACTCTTTCTTGATACTTGACGTAGTCGTCGCCAAAGAAATTCAATAATGTTATTTCTTCAATCAGAATGCGATCGTGGAAAAAACTCCACGACATCAGCGCGTACGCAAAAAGGCATAGTGGGTTCTGAAGTATTAGCTGCAACAAGAATTTGTGAAACGTCATTTGGCAATGCGACAAAAGTGCGGGGGACCAAGTGCCCGCTTGTTAAGAGGAGAATTCGTGATATTCCACCTGCGTGCCTATCGACCAGTAGAACCACCCCACGTAACTGGGATGCCTGCAGAGATTGTACACGCCGTGCGTGACGAGCTCGTGATTGTCGCTCTTCTCGCTTTGCACGACATGATTAAAATTGTGCTTCGCAGTGCACATCGCCAGCTTCCTCAACATCTCGCCGGAAATGCAGAGCATCAGGCCGAGGTAGGACACGACGGAGGGCATTTTCATCCCGTTGAAATAATGCCTCTCTATGAGAAACTCTATCCAACTGAGGCACGCCGCTATCCCGTACGCTACGCTATGATTGAGGATGAAACTGTCGATTGACAGCATAGCTGGATTTGTCCATGCTATGGCTAGAAATTCCGAATAATGGAAACTCGCCAACACCGTCCAATAGATACCAAACAACTGCCATGACGGTGGAGCATTAATTGATACCAGTATACCAATCCCAAATACATATCCAAGAAACAATGCTCTGACGGCTACCTGCAGAGAGAAGGAAAAAAAAGAGGAAATACCGTCGGTATAATAAATCAGTGTGTGAAATCACGTGTAACATTCAAGACACGATGTAATATGGATAGTGCGACTTACTTGATAAGCAAAACCGCGAAGTGCCAGCAACGCGAGTACATTGATCGAAACGTATTGCACGGCATGTAGCGACCAAATATTCGTAAAGTACGCGGCATAAATATTGAATCCTAACCTGCACTGCAGCTCAGGAGAGAGCGAGATTAAAGCCGCCGCGATAAAACAGAATAAGCTGACGGCTCCATCGCGACACAGCATCTTTCAGATTTCCTTTACGTGAGACTCTATCCTCGGCGCGACAAATAATAGTCACGATAAACAATTTGACATATCTGACCCGTCGACGAATCCTCGATTGCTCGCAGCTTCATTTACTTCTCGCGCATTCTTTACAGGAGTTTCAATTTTGCGCTCTTCACCGGCAGCAGTACGCGGTCTCGCGGCCGGGTCGGTTGCGAGAAAGAAGAAATCAAATTTGTTTCAAGAAAGCAACGCAAGTGAAATCAATCAAAACTTATCGAACCGCCCTGGAGGTCCAACGTCCAAACACTCCAAACTATAAACCCCCCCCCCCCCCATACCAAGTGGAGACTTTTTTATCGGCAGTGCTTGAAAATGGATGAAGCAGAATAGTTCCAAAAATGGAAAAGGCATAAAGCGCTGGTATCAGTCGAGCGAAAACGGTAAACAGGGGGTGCTTTCGCGACTTAGATCAAAATAATCCGGATCAAAATGATCCGTGCTACGATTGGTCAAATTTGAAATTTCGTAGCGTCACATTGAAATTTTATTCAATGAAATTCCAGATTCGACCAATCGTAGCACGGAACATTTTGACCTACGTCGCGAAAGCACCCCAGGTTTCTCCCTGTATGTACTTAATGGGA